AGACAGGGGTTCAAGGTCCCCCAAGGACGGGAAAGGGAGGGTGACCCTACTTGACCTAAGCCAGGAGTGCCTCATTTAAAAATAAAAAGGGGTGAATTGTGGGAACACCAGACCTTGAGCAGAGACCCACTTCCCCTTCTGCCTGGGAGTAGGCAGCTGTAAGACATGTTTACTAAAAACAATACAATGCCCGGGGGCATTAAGTTCCTGGAAAAGGCCTGCCCACAGAAACCACCCTGACCTCGACCTTGTCCAAAGACTAACCGCCCCTTCTGCCACGCCCAGATCAGTTTCTGGGGTCAGAGGAGAACCAGCCAGGGGAGAGGAGAGAGCAGAAGCTTCTCTGGTGGGAGCCTTTCTTAGGAAGTTTTCTTGAACCTTTTTGGAGCCTGCTTAAAGTTTTCTTTACATTGTTGAATGAGTCTCTGTGTTGTCAATCCCTGACACCCTCCGCACGTTCTCAGACACAGGCAGCGCAGCAGACGCGACAGAATGCTAGTTAATATGATAAAATAATCAAATTTTGGAAACAAACTGGACACTACTATAAAAATGCAATGATAGCTCATACAGTATATTATGTATCTTTGTTAAGGACATAGCAAGAGGATGTGACCTTTATTTACAAAAACTTTCTGAACTACAAAAAACTAAAAATTTGTAGTAAGACCATTAATGTCAAGAAAGTTGCCAAAAGACATTTGAGAACATCCTGGGTTTTTTTTTCTTTCCTTCTCAATATCCTCTGGAATAGGAGAATTGCCAGTTTGAGGTTATAGGTATAACTTCTGTAATGACAATTTGTGTCTAAAAATTTCTTTCAGATGTAGAAATAAACCAGAATAAAGTATTTCAGACACATTTTTGACATAAGCTAAATGTAAGCCTAGAATAATTTCCTAAATGTCACAAGACAGGGAAAAATTAGTTGGAATACTGAGCTGCTTTTAAGCTTAGCTGGTATTTTCTTGTATCTGCTTAAAAAAATCACCCATGCTAGCTTACAGAACACATTAAATCAAAAGGCTTTTACACCATGGTTAATGTCCTGGCTTTTATGATCTTTGCAAGCCTTGATATTGCAGCACATATTTTACACTTGTAACTCTGCTTCAGGATTTCTTGAAGACTAACATACAATATGCTGAATTAATAATGCTTATAAGTATAATATATATGAGGGGAGTTTGGAAAAATCTTGATGAAAGGTGATATGTATTTATGAGGTGCCAGATGTTTGCTTTTAAAAGTAATTTTTATTAACTCACACTAGTGAGATTTGCATTGAAGTGGTCTCTTTGTGGTAGTATATTGTTTGAATTATGTTCTGTGAGACCTGGGCACAATAGGTTGAATAAAAAATCTGTACCTGTCTAAACTTTATGTATTTTTAAAATTGGGCCATTGGGCTCCTTTTCTAACACAGGTGCTGTGGATTAGATGAAAAGCAATAAAAAGAGTTATATATTTCATATGCAAGTACAGGTGTTTAAGTGTACTGATTATTATTTTAAATATTTTTATTATGATGGCAATCATGATATCATATGCTTAAAGATCATGTTTCTTCCAAGGTGTTCGGGAACACATGTCAGTCATCAATTATTTAACAGTTCATTATGTCCCCTGCAGATATTATTGCCCCATTTTACAGAGGAGGTACCTCTTGACCAAATGTTTGTTCTTTAAATGTCACCAGGATATTTTCAAGTGATCTTTTTTTTAATGTTTTTTTCCTCCAGACTTATACACTTGTGTCCAACTGGGATTTTTCTGTTGCAGTTAACCAGCAAGATGACCATTCTTCTGGTCATGAACTGCTGTGACCCAAATGCTCGACAACTATCAGGTCTGTCCAAATGCAAAGTAGAGTGAAAAGGTGACAAAGTTTACTTATCACTTAATGTTTATGACATGTTATAAAGCATATAACCTCTACAAGTATCTGGTGTAGAGCTTCCTCTACCAAACCTCTGTTGGTCTGTTCTGCTCTATAATGCATATTGTGCTCTAAAACTCTCACTTGCTGTTTGAGCTTACTGAGAGCTACCTGCAGAAGTAGCCTCCCCTCCTTGTCCCCTTCCTATGTAGACATGTCTATGACAAATTTTCTTTAATAACCCCAGGAATGCACTGCCAACTTAATTCTTATAGGAGGAAATAGTACAATTAAACATCCTACAGACAAAGACATTTTACCTTGTAGAAAACACAGAAGATAAAAGATTCCCAAACTTGGCTAATGGCCTCAACAAGGCATCCCAAGTTTAATTTTTACAGATTATTTTGTACACCTGGTTGAAGATGTTTATTTATCATCTGTCTGTCTGTATATCTATCATCTATCTATCTATCTATCTTCTAGCTATTATCTATCATCTGTCATCTATCTATTCACCTTTTAACTTTGTTTTTCTATAGACTCAATAAATGTACTCATTCAAAAACCAAAGTGTGCTTATTGCAGCTCATTCTCTGAACCATGCAGAACATACTCCTCATGTGTTTCCTTGTAGTCAAGGTTATTCATATCTTTCCACATCTCAAAATTTGTTAATTTCTTCGTCTAAACTCCAAGGAAACTGAAACCTTTAGACTAAATCACAATGTCTGAGAATGAATTTCTCAGGATGCAAAATTTCATTTCTCTTATGAAAACATCACCATCACTTGCCAGAATGAGTTCCATCTTGTGTCCAGAACAACAATTTTCAAATAATAGTAACACTTTACCCCATTTTATTTTGCCTTCAGTGACAGAGTGCCGATGACTGAAACAGCCTAAATACAAGAACATGAGTCACTTGTCTTTTCCCTAAATGAGGTGAACACATGTTCTTCTCTTCTTGTTTTGTTTTCTGTGACCCTGAAACTCCCAGCAAAGGACAAATTCTGAAGCTCATACTCACTTTGTGGCATGGATATGCTGAGTTTCATGTTTAATCATCTTATTTATTCAGTCAGATACTGATAGATTTAACAAAACTTTACCTGGATATCTTTGTGAGTGATAGTTATGAAGAAAAAAAAAAGACAGCACAAAACCCAAAAAACACATCAGGCACAAAAGACATAAGTACATCCAGCTGAATTTGGGTTTCATTTGTTTGTTTGTTTGTTTGTTTGTTTGTTTGTCAAGGCAGGCTGACCACTCTGCCTTGGACACCCAATAAGGGTGTTGATCCCTGGGAGACACTAACTCTCTTTTTCTCAACAGTCACTAGTGTAGTATAGTTCATTGCCTAGGTGTGGGATTCCATGAAGTTTTCTCTCTACCACATTTGTATGTCCATTGATATTGTCATTGCTCTAATCTTGTTTGTGTAATCATTTCTGCAAGAGGCTGTTTCATAGCTGACTTACTGGTATTCTGGCTCTTATTTCTGTGCTCATTTGGGAGATATTTCCTGAGTCATGGAAACAGGAGGTGAGATGTAAATGTATCCATTGGGGATAGGCTATATAAGAATGTGACAATATTAAAAGAATGAAAGAAAAGAAAAAAGAGATATCCACTTGAGGGGGATGGAGGAGTTGGAGGGAGAAAGAGGAGGGGGGAAAGTCATACAGTTCTGTTTCATTTGAAATCACATTTAAGATAAAGACAACTTAGGCAAGATTCCTGCCTCCAATCATTTTACACTTTAAGTAACTGAACTGCACCATATACTTTAGATAAACAAATCCCAAACGATTGTGAAGATGAAAATGTCCTTTTGTAAAGGATTCTAATTTCATCTGGAGATGAGCTTTTCTCTACTGGACAGTACATCAATCTGACTGTAGCAAAGCTTGGGTACCATTGGTCAATTGATAGCTTTCTCTTTATCTCACTTTGAGCCACACCCTTCTCTCTAAAAAGCAAAAATGATGCCTTTTAGCAATGTTTCTGCCCCTGCAATGACTCACAGGACTGCTTGCTTAGCTCAGCAAGGGAACAATCGCTACAGGAGTGAGGGCTGCTGCTGCATCTGTAAATTCCCTACCTATAAAGAGCTCTCTGAAAAAAATCAGCTTAAAGTGAACAATGACTATGTACAATGTGAAAATAAAGACAACTTTTTATTGAAATGTATTGGTATGTACTTGAGTGAGGAAGGCTTTGACACAGTGCTTAGAAGTCACATGGTTAATGGTGGCATTGTTTTCCTCCTACAAGTGCTATTGTCGATTTTGTAGAGATAGATGGAACTTCGTCTGTGTCTGTTAACTACAAATGTATTTATTTTATAATTTTGCACTGTTATGAAATTTCATATTTTGTTTTGATTAATGAATTTGAAAGAGAATAGATAGTGAGAAATGGAAGTTCCTTACTTTGTAAAGGTCAGAGGTTAGAATGAATTATCAACAATTGTGATTTATTTTTATTTTGTGCTGTGAATAACTTTTTGAATCTTTTTATGTCAAAAATAGTTTTGCTCTCTCATCCTTCTATACAGTTCGATGTTCCTGAAACATTAAGATTTGGAGAAAGCTTTAAAATCCTCTTCTGATAGCTTCTACCTAACACAGAAATACCTTTGAAATAGTGGACCAATGCTTGTCTTTGGCACTCAAAGATTAAAAACCTTGTGTCTGTTTCCTTTTCCTATCATGTGAGCCTATGTGAATTAAATTCCAGATCAGGCTTGGAGGTGGCAAGTGCCTTTACTCAGGTTTTGAGTCTTTTTGCTGCAGGATTTAGAGGCTTGGGGGGCAGTAAGGAATTTTCTTTAAGGAAGATTTCCTGAAATATGCCTTTTAATCTTGTACGTCAATGTTCACTTTTTACATAGTGAAGAGGGAAATAATTTTCTCTCCACTTCTTTTTCTCTTTTCTATAATGAATCAACCAATCAAACGAACAAGCAAACCTCTTTTGTCAAGAAAAGAACATATTACGCAGAAGGGGAAACCACAGATAAGCAATCATAAACATGTTACGAGTTAAAAACCCTGGCTACACATGTGACAGCAGCAAATTTGTGAGTTAGTAAAAGAAATCAGAATATGGTGAGTTTGGGTTCTGCTCTGTTGGCCTGCCTTCCTCCCTCCCTGCCTCCCTGCTTCCCTCCCTCCTCCCTCTCTCTCTCCTTCCCTTCCTTCTTTTGTTCCTTTATTTCTGTGAAAGTTCTGAGAAATAGTTTCACTGTATAATTCAGTCCCACCAATGACTGAATTCTATCCCAGGGTGGAATCAATCTAAAGTCAATCTTCCTGCTACAGTCTTCTGAGTAGCAAGGTGACAAATGTGAGCCACCACACCTGGCTCTTTGTTTCTGGGGTTGAGAAGTGGTCAAAAGAGTGACACACCTGGCTCTATTTTTCTCGGGTTGGGTGGTAGTCAGATGAGTGATGAGCATCAGAGAGACTGATCAGACACACTGCTCACAGTTTCATCAAACTTCCTTTCCAGTTGTACATGGATTTCTTTGTGTTACTTCTCCTTTTCTTATGCCAGTTTGTCTGCATTCCAGTCACTGTTGCGAAATCCATTCTCTTTGAATGTAGGCTGGACCTGGAAATCTGTTCCTAAGAAAGAGAGCCCTATATGAGTGTTGAGATCTTGCTTCCCTGGTTAGTTTCAAAAGACTGTAGCTTCTTCTCTGGAGCAGCATCTCCCTGCTGTGTTACCAACTTGCAAACTCCCATGAAGTAATCTGGAAATCTGGAGAGGCACTTGTATGACCAACTTCCAGAAGCCTCTAACCTGTCCCCATTCCAACAGGCAACAAAGAACTAAGCTGGTGAGAGGCTATGTGAGGTTGGAAGGCAAGCTTTTCTTAGTTCTGAGATGACTATATCCCAGATGACACATGGATTACAGTCTGCCCAAGAGCCTCAAATAAAAGACTGGCTAAGCCAGGCCTGCATTCCTAAGCCTAGAAAATGAGACAGTAAATGCCTATTGTTTTAAGCTGCTAACCTTTGTTGTAAATTGCTGTGCAGCAGATGATGATTAATACAAAGGTACCTGCAGGACATTTTTGATGTTTTAAATGTAAATGCCAAGTTAGCACTTACCTCTTGGATAGCTGAAAGAGATTAGCCTGATGCCAAGGGTGGGCAGACCATGTAAGAAAGATGTACAAACTCTGTGAGAAGGCACAGTGACACCTACAAAGTTAGAGTAATTACAAATGTTGAGATTGGGCATTGGGTTTTTTTTTTGTTCTGGTATGTATACAGTCACATAGCCTATTCATGATTAACAATAAAATACAGAACTCCATCATGTGGAGTGAGGTATTATCAACATAAGGGAGAATACTGCTGTTTCCCCAAAGTCTACTCTTTATAATGTCTGATGAGTGTTTCATAGATGCAAAACATGTGCAAGGCTGAAATATTCAAACTCTTCTTTAAGCTGGCTGAGAGGTCGTAAATTAGAACTCTAACTGGGCCTTCAACAATTAAGATAGAGGTTAGCCCTTTGTTCGATGTATGTGTGACACTATCTTTCAAGTGAACACTTCATTCCAAATACCTAAACTTCCAAAGTAAATCATTGACAGTGTAGCCAAAGTGTGAAAACAGAATCAATAGCACAAACAGGTAAAGTACTGCCAATCAAAGTAATTGTTGTTGGTCTACCTACTCCAAAAAACAAGTCACTTCTTCCTTACTGTGAACAAAATTCACTGTTTTTCTGATTTTATGGTTTTTTTTTTTTGATTTTTGAGGCAGGGTTTCTCCGAGGCTTTTGGAGGCTGTCCTGGAACTAGCTCTTCTAGACCAGGCTGGCCTCGAACTCACAAGTGCTGGGATTAAAGGCGTGTGCCACCAACGCCTGGCTACTGATTTTATGTTTTTTTTTTAAACATTCACTATGTAATATGATCAGACTTTCTTCTTTGGAAAACCATGAATGTTAAGGGAATTACATAAAATATCTTTTTTTGAGACACTAGACACAAATCATTATGGACTGCCAGTCCTATATTCAGGAAGAGAGAAGTTTGGGCAGAGGCTATCTATGTGGAGCTGTCTTTCTCTGTGGGCTGAGGTATCAAGAGATTCTTTTTATTGTAATCTGCTGAAGAACTTGTGATAAATTTGCCCTGTCTAGAACCAGAAACTCAAGGACTTTAATAAACCCTGATCCTTTGAAATTATGTTTCCAAATTAAATACATTATAAAAGACAAGGCAAACCAGAGATAAGAAACAAATGTCTTGACTTTTATAGGAAGCAAAACTTATTCAAACCAGAATCCCAGGAACTTTATAAAGGTAATCAGAACTTTCTAGAACCTCTGGTTGTTGGCTTAAACAAAATACAAATCTTCAGTTTCAAATGTAGGTAAGATGGAATAGTTCACTGTACTCCAAAACACTTAGCAAACCTGGGCCAATTACATTATCATTGAAGTTGCCAAACTGTTTTGTAAGCATAAGGCCTAAAGGGAACAGGATTCCAACAATGAGAGTCTCTATAGATGATAGCTGAGGGTCTGAGTCATTCCTGAAGTATTTGTTGGTTTGACTTGACAAAAAAACTAAGATACCAGACAGCCTGCACATAGGACAATTACCTGCAGTCAGAGTTACAAGCAGAGGCATTGAGGAGTATGGACTAAATTGATATAACTGAATATTTGGAGCAGCGGTGGGTTCCGCCTCAGTGTGTTCCAAGATTCTGAAATAGAAGGGTGTTAGAGACCAAATAATGGAGACTAGAAACAGAAGTGCCCAAATATTCAGGGTTACCCTGTGTTCTATGGTTAGAAGAGTAATTATTTTAAATGAATCAATTATGTTCTAAAGAAGTGATACAAATTAAACCAGAGCCTTGAAATATATTTACAACAATGAAATAGATTAGAAAAAAATTGTAACACAAAGTATTAAATCTGAAAACAGTCTAGAATTGGGAAACTTATATAATCATGTGTTGAAATCCAACATCTATGGTAAAGTTTTATTAACAGTACTATTAATATGAGAAACTAGACATTTATTTCCTACATTTTAACCAGTTTACCAATAAACATATATTCACTGGAAATGATAAGCACCAAGGTCATAGACATACTGATCCCTTCCAAAGTTTCCCAGAATTCCTTTGTTTTGTGTGTGTGTGTGTGTGTGTATTTAGAGAGAACAGCATCAGACCTACTATTTCAATAGTTTTAAGTCCATAATATGTGTTGATTATAATCATTCTTTTGTACCATAGAAGTTAGAACTGAACTATATTTTTTACACTAATTATAGTAAGAACTGGACTCAAAACATTTGGTGAAATGAAATAAAATTAGAAACTCAGTAATGCTCATATTACTGTCACCTGATTTATGACATAGGCAAGAACACAATCCAAGGGGACAAAGATGATCTTTTCATTAAATTATTTTGTGCTAACTATTCATGTGGGGAAAATAAAGTTTGGCTCTTATGCTATATTTGTAAAAACCAATACCTTCTGAGTTGTAGATCTATAAATGGAAAGTAAAACCATATACTTTCTAGTATGAGGACATATCACATTTTGTGAAGAGGAAATGGGTTTTTGTTTGTTTTGTTTTGTTTTTCACATTAGTACCAAGAATTCTAACTCTGAGCAATACACAGCTCATATTAAACTTAAAGTGACTTTGTTTTCAAATGACATCATGGAAAGAATTTAAAATTGAGTACTTTACAATCAATGATAATTTCCAAGCACATGTCTTTGAGAGGTTATAGATGCAGAATTTATAAAGGACTATAACACATCAATAAGTAGTGAAACACATTCTCAGAGAACTTGAGAGGGCTCTGTAATGAAGACAATGAATACTCAACTCTATCGGTGACCTAGAAATATAGTTTAAACCCACACTCAAACATAGCTCTTCATGGATGAGGGCCAAACTTTTAAAAAAGAAAATGACAAAAAATGGACACAGTGAAACTCAAATGTACTACTGCTCTACTTGTCTTGATTTCCTGACATGACAATGTCTGCTTTTATACTAATTTGAAATGCAAGATCATAAGATGAAAGAGGCATATTGGAATTTTCAGAATTCATAGGAGCTCCAAGTAGAAGCTATATAATAATATAAATCTATAGATATAATGGAGAAAAAGAGTATAAACACAACATAATATAAACCATGTTTCTGGGTTCAGGCAGTAGTAAGAAAAAGAAAATAGAAAAGTAATAGAAATATCCATGATCAAATAGGAAAAGAAATTGTCTTTGGGAAAGAGCAGGAATCAAGAGATGGTTGAAGGAGGTGTCAAAAAGGAAATTAGGTTACAATGTATTAGTTATATGTTGCTTCATAAGAAAAGAATTCAGTTTTTTAAAGTAATAAATGCCTATTCAAACATTTTTTCTGGATCAGGACCCAGAAGGCTGAAATTAAGGCATCAGACTGGGTAACTTTCTACTAAGGCTAAACCATCTTACAACAAGCTCCTTACAGGCCTCAAAAAAATCCTCTCCTTTTGTGCAGGCTAGATGGCTCAGAGAGTAGTGGTGACTGTGAAGCAGCCCTCCCAGGCATGGCTAACTGTGCTGTCCTACAGCTGGACACAATCAATAACTTTTCTATGCTTCTTGTTTCTTGGTATCTGTTTACCACCAGCTCTACTGAACCCACTCATAGTCACACAGATTCTACGAGTGAGTGCTGCATGGCCCACAAGCTAGGGTTTGGCTGAGTTAAGGCTGCTAGGGATGGGTTGTACTGAGTTATGACTGACAGGTGCCAGGTATGCTGGAAAGGATGCCCTCCTCTCTGCTCTGTCTCTGCAAAAGTTTTGTTTTGCCTGGACCCCAAACCTCTGCTCATTTACAGATGTTGCCAATACACCCAGGCAACAGAAATTCTTCCCTCTTCAGGATCTCACCTTTTTAGCCTCAATCTTACCTCCCGTGGTATTCAAATATCCTGTTTTTATTTCTAGATTCTCACTGGATGATATTTTGAGAAAGGGACCCCTATAGTTTTTTAAGAAAATGGTGAATTTAAACTCTGTACATTCCCAGTTTGTAAGTAGGATAAAACAAACTACTTTTTGTATCTGCCTTTTAACTGGTGGAAAGAGATAGAGGGATTCTCGTTCAGAGGAATTCAGAACACATGGAAGATAAAATTAACTACTAGACATATGTGCAGACCTATATCTAGATAGATACTTACAAGGGGATTCAAGATACCTGCTTTAGGATAAGAGAATGACTAACATTACCTGGTCTAGCTTGGCAACTCAAAGCACAAAGTATCCTATGCCTCCTTTGTCTCTTTCCTTTGCTTATTTCCTTTTGGATACATAAGCAGACACAGAACACAAATTTTAGCCTCACTATAAGTTCAATGGCAAAATTCTTTGGTCTAAAATGACATAGAAAGTTATTTCCATCAATGCCATTTCTTACACTTTTTTATTTAGCTGTGGAATGGGAACGGATATGGTTTTATGGGTGTTTGACTGGTCTCATGTTTTTGTCTTACATGCTATTTGCCCTGTTTTGTTTCTCCCTATTGTATGAAATGATGATTTATCAAGTTGTCCATTGCCCTAGGAGACTACTTTGCAAACAGCTTTGGACTTTTGAATGAGAAAAATGCCTATAGCTCCTGGGTAGACACAGAAACCACATCATCTGTCAGGTACTACTCATCCAGCACAGACTAATATATAGGGTAATCCTTGGAATAGAAAGGGAGCTACCATATAATTTTGTTGGAGAGAATTGCAACAGTGGAGCACGTGAACATGTTAAAAATCACACCAGGGAAAACAGTCCCAAAGACTTACTAACCACAACAGATCAAGGAAAGATCTTGTAGGTGTGAAGGATTAAGGATTCACTGACTAGACAGAATCCCCTGATATTGATGAAGCCTACTGTACTACAGGACTACCCATCTATATGTCCATCTAGACCTGAACATGACACACTGTTTCCTGCTCCTACCTCATTTCCTGCCCCATTCCCCATTCTGCCTTTTACTTATCAGCCTAGCTCTACAGCTTTTTGCCCATATACCTGACTCCACCAACAGCTCCTTCCTGCCATTGGTCTAGCATGTTATCTCTTTCTCAAATCAGTTCTGAAATCTCTGGAACTCTCTACAGTAGTCATTATAACCTACATCAATTTTGTAACTCACATATACATTCATAGACATATAGATATACAATGTGTGATGTGAGAGTTAGGAATTAAGATTGAACTAAAGAACTTAAATTTGCCTCAGTCAAACTACTGATGTGGCATATTTTATGATAAATTCTTGCAGCAAACTTTCTAAACATTGTGACTTTATTATTATCCAAAAATTTCTGACATTGTAGAAAGATACAATGGCCCTTGTCTATATTTTTGCATAGCATGCTAATGACAGGTCTATTAGTGACCAGATGAGACTCTGGATTTGTAATGTATGTTTTTTCCTAGTTTGGGTATGACAATGTGTCATTAGTCATGGAAGCCATGGAGGATTGACCCCTTTCTTATAATTAACTTTGGAACCTATTTCCTGTTTTCCTGGGGACACAGGAAAGGGAATCATCAACAACTGTTGCTCTTATCAATTAAAACTTATGAAAGAAACGATGGAAGAGCATTTAGGACTTTGTTGTGCTCTTTCTGTTGGACAAAAGAATGGGTTATCATTGGTCCTTAGTGGAGGTGTCATGACATTATAAGAGGCCCAAAAGATTAAATACTATTGTTTCTTCCTTTAAGAGTTAATTCAAATAGACCTGTCAATCAACTGTCCAGGAGATTGTCCCTAAGGAAACCTGATTCACCTGAAAACATCAATGAGCTCAACACAGTTATTTACAGACCTTTGATGTTAAGCCTGCCTGATTTATAGGCTCTAACTAAAAAAGCAAACCCACCCATTTTTGGATGCAGGCCAAAATCTTAAGCATACTTTCCCTGACACTCTGGGTTTTCTCACTGTTTCTCTAAAGATTCTTTATTTTTCTACATTTGTTTGAAGATATCAGTTGTTGACCCTATCTCAAAAGTATGTGTCTCTCTCTGTTCCTGTTTCTCATCTATCTCCTTCTAGTGACCAAATCCATTTTTAAATTCTTTTATTAATGAGCCTAAGGTTTCACAAAGGGTAATCCAAAATTTCCTGTAGCCATACTTTTAGTGGTTCAGTTCATTACAAAATTGGAATTTTTGTTGCAAAGAACTGGCTATTTTTCTCAGTACACCAAAGTAATGACAAGGATTAAAGAGTGAAGGACAAATATGTCTTAATGAAATTCTGTCAAGAAAAGACACAAAACTCTCTCTATATGAACTCTTAATTCCCTCTATTGTATTTCTCCTTCCCTCTATCCAGTCATACAAATAAGAATAAAATAATGCTATCTTTATCTGTAACCTCTTGAGGAAAGACAGGAAGGTTCATGACAACTATACTAAAGAAAATCTTGTTGCCTTAGTATACTAGCATCCAGAACATCTTGTACACTGTGTTATTTTCGTGAGTGGGAGTTCCGTGGTATTGAGGGGTTTGCTATGCTGTTATCATGAAATAGATATGGTACAATGACAGGTGAGATAAAATATATCCTGTCCATCTATTCTTTCTCATGAAAAGAGTGATATCTTAAGGGTAGTTGAGGGTAATTAAATT